AGGAGGGACCGCCATGCGGAAGTGCGAGACGGTGCTGGCCTTATCGAATCTGGGTGCGATGTTGCGATCGGCGTCGTCCTCGAGGACTACGATGCACGTGGAGCCTCTCAAGCCCGTGAACAGGCTCCGCGTGCCGCCGCAGTCGCCGCTCGGGGGCTCCACCAGTCGCATGTGCTCCCGCTGCAGCAGCCTGCTGTCGATGGCGTCCTCGTCGAGGTACTCGCTCAACACCACCGGCGGCTTCGTGCAGTGCGGCACCACCCCGCCGGGCGAGACGCAAACGCTGCTGTGCAAGCTGTGCCTCGTCGAAGTGCCCGTCGTGTCTACCTGCGAAATTCTGCAGTGCGGATGCTGCTTCTGCAAAGACGTGAGTACCCGCACCGATATTTTTGGCATCGTTCTTGCTCGAGTAGTACCCGCCTTATTGGAATGTTTCTGACACTACTCTACAGTTTTGTAATTTTCCCATGCGAAAACATTTCCTTCAAATATATTTTTCTTTTATTTTCCTCCTTGAAACCTGTACACTTGAGTCACATGCATTCAGATAACAGCCGGAAAAACTCGTTTACACATATTTAATGTCACAGCATAAACAAACCGCGAAAAACCTGAGATTTAATAAGAGAAATTTCTTTCAATACGAGTACCTACTTTGTTAGATTTGTTTTGGAAGGTGAAGTAAGACTACTCATGTGTACTGTGCCACTTCGTGGAATTAATTTTGCAAGTTTTCTTTTTTAAATTTTAACATGGTATTAAATGCTCATTATCCATGCATTGTTTGCCTCTGACAGAACCTACTTTTTTAAAATTCTCGCTCGAGTGCCCAGTGTGCGGTGGTTGAGTTTGTTTTTCACATCAGTCGGAGGGAAAGTGCTGCGCGCGTTATTGTGTAAGAAAGCACTGCAAACACGTTAATAGGCTGTTATAAAGTACACATAGCTTTATTGTTATTTGTTTTCGAAAATTGGCTTGTGTGAAAGTGAACGTTTGTTTGACTCTTAAATCCGATTACAGAATTAGTATTGAGGGCAGAGAGAGCGTCAGTAATTTAGAATGTTTCTCATACATGAAAAGTTTTAAAATGGCATCTGTGCAACGAGATCAGGATTTGAACATTTTTATTATTATTATTGGTATTATTTTTATTATTTATATTATTGCTATAGTTATTTTTGTTATTAATGAAAATAATAGTAATAATATCTAAATATATTATTATTATTGTGTGTAATTTTGATTATTTGTGAATTGACTGCCTGTTTAGCGCCATATTTCCCTCTTTCTTAGAGAACTCATGTTTTAACATTTGCTGTTATCACGCCCTACACGTGAGAATGTTGTGTTGGCGACCACTAAGCGTTGGGAATGTCTACTCATTATCTTCGTATTTCAGTTAAATTCGTGTTGCTTAGGATTTACTCTATAAGTAACTTGTCCCAAATATTGAATATCGTTCATTTGCATTTTATCGTTTAAGACACCAATATTAGGTTAATTAAATATTTCACGTGCTATTTGATTACTATTTTATTACATTTTTATTCCGTAATCGTGTAATATACTTATTATTAGTTAGCTCCGCAATTTTCACTTTTCTACTGGACCGAAGGCTTTTAATGAAATAGTGTATTTACGTAATACGAATGCTCTTGTTGCGAACCGCATCCAAGTGTATCTCCTAGACTGATAGCATGTTGAACGGATTGCCCGTGGTCTTCAGAAGCGTCTGCACAAACAGCCACATTGCTCTAAATGCAATCATATCCATGCGAATCATTCAGAACGTTTTAAAAGTTTTTCATGAAGTATGCAACGAAATAGAAACGAAAACGTAATATTCCATATCTTCGAAATTAAGTTGACGTGACAGCTTTCTTTTTGTAAGAAAATTTAAATTGTCTATTACATCACGTACAATTGTAGCCCAAACTAATGTAGCTCTTAAATAAAGAGACGTCGCACGGTTTTGTTAACGTTCCACTCTACTTATATAAAGTGAATCAATATGTTATTTTAAGTAATGTTCTTCAATATTTGAGTTGAGCTGAAACCACTATTTCTTCGGGCCTCGGATATCTTCTTGTTTCTCGTCTTTTGTCCCTGAGACTCGTACTAGTCGGCTCAAGTCAATTTCTCTTCTGTAAGCGCTAATGGGTGGAAACTCCGATATGACTTTCGACAAAGATGATGAGTCTTCTCTTCATACTTTTTGTAGTAGTCAACCAAATATCTCTTGATGACGATAATGGGAACCAGGACAACTGCAACGACGATGGGGACAACGATGATGACAAAAACTGTCGGCGAAAGCATTTTGTGACAAACGAGCTCGGCGATGAAATTAGTAGTTGAAAACGTCATATCTGCGAAGATTTTGTACATTTGTAACAGGCCAGCTTCTGGCAGCGTGACGACAGTTATATGCTTTATTTTGTGTTCTTCGAAACTTTTGAGCTTTTCACGGAAAAATAATGGCTTTTGAACGTTTTGTATAGGGCTCTTCCATATGCCGTAAATATTATTGAGAACGGCACATTTAAAAGTTCTAAACATGCAAGTTTATTCATTAGAGTAAGAGCTTCACAAGTTTCCGATAGTATTCTAGTTGATAGCGACGATAGAAACTAACTCATTCAGACTGCAGAAGAGCTATTTTGAATTTTCGAGTGACAGTTCATTTCTACAGGAAATGCTAAACCTTCTCAAAATGATGGCAACAAAATGTCATTAAATGATGTAATAAGGTGATAAAACCCGATGTGCGGCCCACATGCCACCCGTTTGCAGAATGATCTCCCCGCACGTCGTACGAGGAATAGAGAAATTGATGTTACATGATGCGGATTGTACAATTATTTCACAGAACCGAAGACATTCCAGTTGATCCAGTTTCCAAAAAATATGTTGTATTAGTAGATGATTGATACGTAAAGAAGTGCGTAATGTCGAAGATACGTAAGCTTCTAAACAAATCCAAGTGTATGGACGTATATTAAATGAATGGATTGTTGGTTTTTCAAGATTTAGAACTGTTCATTTTTCTCTGCCATTTCCAACATAATCTCACAGTAAGAGTTTATCGTCACAATGAGAAACATCTTTGTCAAGTACAACCATCCGCGAGTTTCAACTGCTGAATGACACTATAAATATACATCCTCGGTGGTCCTAGATTATTTTGGTGGAACCATGTGATCCATGTGAAAACTATTTCTGTAAAGGCTGTGGGGCCTTCAAAGTAGTAGTTGATTTGTCCGTGTACATTTGTCATTCAAGAAAGGCCGGGTCCGCCGGCCTAAATAATAGCGCAGCGCACACTCGCTCCTCGCGCCACGCGAGGGCCTGCATTACTCCGGCGAGGTCTCTTGCGACTAGGCGTACACACACATGCACTTAGGGCACCGTGTGGCTAACGAGGGGGAAGGGGATTCCGCCAACGCGCGGCAGCGCACGGCAAGAGGCTTTCCTCGTTCGCGGCAGCGGCGGTGCTTCCCGGTCCGTAACAGCCCCGTCACCCGTTCAGCAACTCGGCGGAGTCGCTCCGCTGCGCAAACTCTTCGCGTGTCAGCGCACGCACCCCGTGAGCGTACGAGCGGCTCGACTCGCTCGGCTCGGCTGGCTGCGGCAGCGCGCACGGCGCGCGCGGCGTCCCGGCGGCCGCGGCCCACGGCCCGACCTCGGCCCGGCGGCGGCGTCTGCGTCAGCCCCTGGACCCGGCCCGGCGCGGCGCGCGGCGCCGCCGCCCTTGCGACGGTTATTGCCGCCGCGGCGACGCCCTGCGTTTGAATTCGCAGCCCGCCGCCTGCCAGCGGAGGTCGCACCATCGGGGACTCCTTTGCCTCAGCCCTGGCGGGCGCCTTTTTAGGGGGAGTGGGAGGCGGTGCAGTACCAACGTTTTGGAAGTCTCTCCATCCCGTGTTCATGGGTGGTTCCGATCTGCTAGCCTGCTGCACGCTCAACAAACGTTTGTCGTGTTGGCAACTGCAGCAGGGTCCACGGTGGCTTGAAAACGTACGATGTAATGTTTTGTTCATCTGGGCACATTTTCTTAAAAGCACGAACTTAAAAATTGAATATTGGTCTATCTGGGTACTTAATTGGAAGGTATAAAGTGTAAGAATTTTAATGTATTATTGTCTGTCCTTGCACCGCCCATTCTCTGGATATTTTACTTTTTCAATCTTTCATAAATCCAATATCAAAAATGAACTCGAATATTTTCGTGGTATAAACGCACGTTTCTAAGCTAAAGTCGAAATGTTTGCAAAATGAGGAAACGAGGATGGGCATTAGAAACGTACTAAGTAGTTCACCTCTGAAATGCTGGAATCCTCAGTATCGTAATTCATAGTAACTAAAAAGATGTTACATACGTGTGTACGAAGATTTAGTTGCTACAGGAATAAACATGGAAGCGAACGCCGTGCTCTGAGAGCATTCTGCACTCTTTATGCCATCTGTCTTGAATAGCCTAAGAAATCACTACAAAAGTAAAGAACAAATGTATTTATTTTTATTATGCAAGCTCTCAAGGCAAAAGTACGGTCCTTTACCGGAGTGTAAACTTTAAGAACATAGTACAAGTACTCGTTTACATTAAAGAAAATAGAGGCGCTTATAATTTAATAGCGTATCTCACTGTATCTCAGATTTAATGTCCACTTTCATAATTCTTTCTGCGGCTGTGCGATTTTCGAAAAATATGAAAACGGTGACATTCCTGTTTCGTTTGGCCAGTAAACTTGTTATTGCATAGGTATACAATTCACATGATCCTCTGTGGAATATTCTCATGAGGTTTGTTTGTAAACAAAAGAAAGCATGAACGTAAATAAATTGAAGATCAATATATTTGTTTTCTCCTGAATTTTTAAACCCACAAAAAATTTTTCTTGTGGAGATTCCTCGTTATGTAAAACTCCGTTCGCTAATGAGGGAGTTTTATTGGCTCACAGCTATGAATGGTGCTCCCGTCAGCAACTAATGGAAAACGCATCCGGGACATTAGTCGATGACAACACAAAACCTTAACTGGCGAATTAAGTAGCCATTCTTGGAACGGTCAAACAAACACTGTATCTTGACAACAAAGGAGGTTTTACAACAAATACTATTTAATATGTATTTCGGGAAAGATTCCATCCAACTTCTATAATTGAATTCCGATAGGAAATCACGTATACGGGACGAAGTTCAGTGTCAAATAATGCGTCATGAAAAGTTTTAAAGGGACAGGCGAGGAAATATTTGAACTTGGCGATCTATCAAAATATCCTTAAACACAAACACATTTCTGTTACAATTAAAACGCTTCGCTTGAGATAAATTATGCCAAGGCAGCGACGTAGCCGATACAAACAA